ACAAACTCAACAAGAATTCAAATATGCTGTTCCAATAAAGGCTTAGACTTTGCTCTACCACTAATTATAGGTGTCCAAACACCTTTAAACTAGAGCTGCAACTAACAATTATTTTGCAATTGATTAATCTGTTAAACTAAAACTTTTCCACTTGAGGAGTTCTGAAGGAAAATATTGACAGATGAACATTTTTTTCATCTTAAGTGCTAAATGTATATATATATATATATATATTTTATTTTTTTTTTTTTTTTAATTTTGATATAATTACTGCTCTAAGTTGGTCGCTCTGTCAGCTAAAGGCATGTTTTAGTCTCTATACTCCAGTTAATGATTAATCGATTACTAAATTAGTCGACGATTATTTCAATAACCGATTAATCCCAATTGATTCGATTAATTGTTTCAGCCCTATTATAAACCCATTTACAGTTGTTGGTTCTTTTGTAAAATCACTTGACTCTTGGATAGCTACATAGCTAAAGAAACTCATGAATACAAAAAGTCATTTAAAAAAAAGAAAAAACAACAAAAACTGCTTAGGGTGTTTCTTGCCGTTTTGGTTCTTCTTAAACCTGTCGTTCAGTTTACATTCCTCTTTGTGTTCCATCTCAGATCGACTTGTCAAAATGCAAGAATGTCACAGTGTTTCTGGCTCCCAGTGTGGTAAGTATTGTTTTGAACACACAGCTCTTAGCTGGAAGAAAGTATGGTGCATCCCTTAAAGGCATTACAGAGACATTTTTTTTTCTAAATTGCAAGCCTTCAGGAAAAGCAACCTTTTGAAATGCTTTTATAACACACTCTTACGTCATATGTAAACCATGTTTAACTTAATTTAAGTTTTTAAGTAAAAGGAAGCCTCTTACCTTCATCACCTAGTTTTATTTTTTGCCAATTTAAACAGATTGTGTAATAAAAAAGAAATGAACAATTCAGAAATGGCATAGCCCATGGATGAAATAGAATTTGAGTTACATGTAAGTTTTGCAGTAATTGTTCTTTTTCTCCTGTGTTTCTAGCTTTCATTGTTACAGAAAAAGTTGCAGGACGAGCTTCCCAATGATGCCTTAGTGGTGGCTGGCCGTTTCCCCTTCCCAGACTGGAACCCTTGCAGGATTGAGGGACATGGTGTGGACAGAGCCTGGGCCTACAATATGCAAGCACAACCGCATCACACCAGTCAAAAAAACCAAAAACCTCAGTGCAAAACCGTGTGATGCTGGCCATTAAATAGTTCAGGACGATTTAGTCACTTAAAAAAAAAATAATGCTCTGATTTTAGAAACACTATCACTTAGGATGAACTACTCTTAGGTATTAATGTTTTACAGACGTCATAGACTAACTAGACTATTTATTTTTATTTTTAAAAGGGAGTCAAACTCTAAGTCTTGAGAAAGTATGTTACATGAACATACCTCTGTTGATCTTTAGGGAGTTGCCAAAGTTCTGACAATTCCAGAGGAACAACAACCCACTCTATGTTACATTGTGTGCTTGTTTTTTTTGACAAATTCTAAAGATAATCACTGATCTAAGCTTGATGTTATCTCTGCCACCTTTGGCAGAGTTAGCATCACAATGCAAGAGTATAAACCCAAACTTAAACTGAGCCATGAGTGCAAATGTGTCTGTAGATTTGCAGCTATAGTTGGAAAGTTTCACGTCGGATTTAACTGTCAGAGGTGTCTATGGACAACCCTGCACCTGAAGTTTCTGTGTGTGTGTGAATACTATCCCGGTTCTGTAGCTGGGGAAAAAAAAAGAAAAATAACAACGAACCGTCTGCCATCATGTTAGAAAGTTTTTACAATGTTTGGGCCTTTTTTTATTTGTTCTTTGTCATTGTTACTAGCCACACATGGTGCAAGTGATTATTCCCAAACACTTAAGGCTTTTGAAACGGACATTACCCATGAAGTCTGACATTTTCTTTTTTTGTTGTTGTTGTTTTTTGAAATAACCAGGCATCTGTTTTGATCTAATATTTTTTTTTACAAAACAACAGCATGTGTGCATTTTTTTAAAGATCTTCTATTATTTCTCCTCTTTCTTATTTTAGCTGTTTAAAATAGACAATGAAAAAATATCCTATTATGAATTTCTTTATTATTTACCCAAAGAGCTTACACTTGTTTTTAAATAATTCATCATCAGATGAAGAGCTAAACTGTTTACTGAGTTTTGCGTGAAGCTTTTTATGACAAATGTTTTTAAAATCATCCAGTCTAAGCTTTCTTGCTTACATGGGGTGAATATTTTTATAAATAAGATAAATTGAAGGTAGCCTTTTAACCTTTTGTAGATTAAGACATTTCAACAACAACCACTTTTCCAACCTTGTTATCTTTTAATCATTACTCTGCGCTTCATTTAATTTGGAAGTGGGAAGTCGGGGTGATGTCATTTTTGACATGATGGCGATCCGATCTTCTATGCAGTATTTTGTGCATATAAACAGCATTGGAACATCAAGTCTTTAAAAACTAAAGTAGAGCATATATGACTAATTAGAATACAATAAAATTCAACTTTATTGTCATTACACTGTCACAAGTACAAAGCAATGAAATTCCCTCTCTGCATTTAACCCATCCCCTTGGGGAGCAGTGGGCTGCCATTGTGCAGCGCCCGGAGAGCAATGTGGTATTTAAGGGTCTTGCTCAGGGACCCAGAGTGGCAGTCTGTGGGAGTGGGGCTCGAATTTAGAGCCTCTGGGGTCCAAGTGCAATGCCCTAACCACTAATGATGAAAAATGTCTAAAAACAGTCAAAGAAGGAAAGTGTAACCACTTCTAATGTGAAAAGCAGCCTTCTTGAATTCAGAAATCGGGTGTTATCTGCTCACAGGTCAGATATTCTGAGTACAAATGAAATGCAGCATTATAACAAACCATTTAAGAGATTCCATTGAAGTCCTGAAACTCAAAAAGGTTGAGTGTTTGATAAGCAGTACCTGCTGCAGCTGGGATCAGACAGTGCAAACAATATATATTTTTAACATTATCTCTGTTTTGGCTTAATATTCTTCATTTAAATTGTGACACAGCTCAGTGCTACTATATTAAATGTTCTGTTTCATCTGAAGTTCTACATAGATCAAATTGGCTGTTGAGCATACTTATTAATATCTATAAACATATAAAATCAAATACCTAAAAGAGGGTGCATTCACTCACAAGCATGACTGTAAAACAATCCTTTTAGCAAAGTAAATGTACTTTCATAAAGCTGGCCTTGATTTATGTAGTTTATTTTCTTCTGTAATTATTTACCATCTCATATTTTTTGTATGTTTCATATTTTATGATGTTTGAAAAGTAGTAATTAATTAGCATCTTTCCTCAAACCTTTTTTTTTTTTTGTCTCATGCAGGTTTTTGTTTTGCTGCTTTATATTGATTTCTGGACCTGCAGATCAAAGGTGCTGGGAATTAGAATAATAATGTGTATCTTATCCATGAACTAATAAGGTTAAGACTGTAAAAGTAGATTACTTTTCTTGTTTGATTTTACTGTTTTTTTATGTATTGTATGTTTTATTGTACTGTTTTCTGACAGAGTTGGCCTTATTTATGACTCATATTTACATGCACTTTGCTAAGTAAAAAAAAAAAAAGTACTCCTCTTATCTGTCTCTGGCTAATAAAGTGAGCCATATTGCAAAATGTCAGTGTTGATTAAATCTCTATTTTGACCTCAGCAGTGTTTCCCAATCAGCACTGTTGGGTAAGCCTTTAAACCATCATCTCTATTATTGTGTATTTACTCCATTAAAAAGGGATGGTTTCAGACTCTGGCACCTTGATTTCCAAATGACATGCAAAATTTGCTTTCATCTGCAAAAAGTACTTTGGACCAATGAGCAACAGTCCAGTGCTGTTTCTCTATAGCCCAGGTCAGGTGCCTCTGCCGCTGTTTCGGGTTCAAAAGTGGCTTGACCTGGGGAATGCGGCACCTGTAGCCCATTTCCTGCACACGCCTGTGCACGGTGGCCCTGGATGTTTCTACTCCAGACTCAGTCCACTGCTTCCACTGGTCCCCCAAGGTCTGGAATTTGCCCTTCTCCACAATCTTCCTCAGGGTCCGGTCACCTCTTCTCGTGAAGCGTTTTCTGCCACACTTTTTCCTTCCCGCAGACTTCCCACTGAGGTGCCTTGATACAGCACTCTGGGAACAGCCTATTGGTTCAGAAACATCTTTCTGTGTCACACCCTCTTGCTTGAAGGTGTCAATGACGGCCTTCTGGACAGCAGTCAGGTCGGCAGTCTTACCCATGATTGGGGTTTTGAGTGATGAACCAGGCTGGCAGTTTTAAAGGCCTCAGGAATCTTTTGCAGGTGTTTAGGGTTAATTTGTTGATTCAGATGATTAGGTGCATAGCTCGTTTAGAGACCTTTTTCATGATATGCTAATTTTGTGTGATAGGAATTTTGGGTTTTCATGAGCTGTATGCCAAAATTATCCGTATTAAGACAATAAAAGACCTGAAATATTTCAGTTAGTGTGCATTGAATCTAAGATACATGAATGTTTAAGTTTTATCATTCAGATTATGGAAAATAATGAACTTTATCACAATATGCTAATATTTTGAGAAGGACCTGTATGTACTTCAAACACTGTGAGACTACATCATTACAAAATAAAAGTAAAAAGTTTTGTGCATTTAAATAATTGTATTTAATATGGATATATACTTTTACTGTTTTTTAACTTTGATTTGGAGTTAAATTAAGACACATAACCATTCAAATGTATTAAATAACTGTAAATTGTTGTTTGTAGAAAAACTAAAAGGGCACATTTTAGAGCTTTAAATGAACCATAATTTAGATATTTATGCCACAATAGTACGATTATAAAGCTCCCATTAAAAGCACGTATTTAGAATTTATTATATAATGCTACTATAAACTGGAGATGGAAAGATAAAACCGGATATTGTGCGTTTTTGACTTGACACAAGCTGATTGGGTCAAAAGAGGAAGTTGTGAAGCAGACTCTGAACTGAAGCTAGCCGCCCTGCGCTTTGAAAAGGGAAATAACAGGAACAGACGTGTGTAGAATTGTTTGGTTTATCACTGCAAGAATTTCAGATTAAATCATATCTATGCATATTATTCCGAGCCGAAACCATAAACTGTAAATACAATTTGTCCTGAGCGGCGGCAACGGTTGACATTTAAGCTAACGAGAATGATGCCTCCAGCCTTCTAGAAAAGCTAACAGCTTTAGCCGCATCCGCTGTAGCGGTAGCAACGGTTAATTAGCCTACGAAATGGCAGACTTTGGACGCTAATCATTCGTTTTTAGCTTAGTTGAAGACGGAAGGGGTAATTTGGTTTTATTTTTGACGAATGCTAATTGTTCCTATCGATTCAACGGCGACATACGATAATGCGGCTAACTTTTAAGTTTGACATAGACCTTTCAACGTTAGGGCTGTTTTACTCTTAGGATTTTATTATTGATGGTTACAATATTAATAGCACTGTAGTGTTTTTTTTTTCTTCGTTTAATAGCAAGCTAGCTGTAGTGGTGTTTGCTGTGTGCAGAGCACCGAGCCAGCAGTTGTGCACCATGATGAGTTCGGTGTGCGGTTACGTTAGCCTGCAACACCTTAGCCTGTGTTAGCATAGAATCTACTAGCAACAAACTAATGTTGGCCTGTTACGGTCAATTGATCGGCAACTGAATAAAGTGAAGGACACATCTGAGCCAGACTAACATGGTAAGTACATATCAGTACGTGATGTTTATCTATTTCTGTCTTTTCTAGGGTCGTTTGATGTCTGTTTCTAAACCGAAACAGCTCCTTATGTTGGACAAAATATGAACCAGCCTGATTGAGTAGCCCAGGTATCTCTGGTTGACGTGCGATCTAACGGTTTGAGGCCAGGTGTTTCCGTGAAATCTGTCAGTTGTTTTAGCCATTTCACGGTGCAAGACGCCCATCTTGCATAATAACTCTTCTTAGTAGTGTAGCCTCGGATGAAGTTGAGGCGTATTTGAGGAATTCAGACGGGAATGCTCTTTAAAAGGCTCCTCGTTTCTGCAAGTCGGGGCCCAGCTTCTCTTGCTGCAAAAAGACAGATCGCTGCATTCAATTTTCAACAAGACTGTTACGAAAACTGACATTATCGAGAGTGAGAAGAATACAGTCGCAAGTCTGGGCATGCAAAGGAAGTGAGGTTTTCAGCACAGCAAAGTGAATCCTTTGAGCTACATTAACCTAAATGCACTTGATCAATGTGCCTTTCCTTTGCCAGGTTACATCATTAGAAACTGACAAATAACTCTGATCATATCCTGGAACTCTTTAATAATTTTTTTATGAAGTCTTGTTCTACATTTAAATACTTCCAGGAATGATCTCCGTCTGGGGTTTGGCACGCAGGCAGATTTGATATTTTATCTAGATATACCTTTTTTTTTTTTTTGTCCTTTATCCTATAGTTTGATTTTTGTGTTTGCTTTTTTCTCCTCTTAGGCTTCAGATGAATCATCTCTTCGTGCATTGGAGAACCTGATGACAGAGTTCTTTCACAGTTGCACGACTAATGAGAGGAAACGGGAAATAGGTAAGTTCAAATTCACGAAGAAGTATATAGGTCTGCAGACCACAGGTTAGGGATGGGCTACAGTAAAAAAATAAGTTCCTGTCCAAGATAAGTGGTTATCAATACGGACCATTTAATACTTTAGCAACATGACCTATAAATTTGTCTGAACATTTAATATATTGATGGTGTGTAATATTTAGCAGGCAACATAGCAGGCTATGAAATTTCACAGTTGCCTTTTTGTTTATCTGTAAAGTGATCATTTAGGGCAGAGTCCTCTTTTTAGGTGCTGAATTTACGCAAAAACACTTTTCTATAACACATAAGGAACTCATTTTTTATATCTTTTATTTAAAAGTTGCTATCCATCTTTTTTCTCCAATAATCAGCCCCATTCATTTTAATCGTCCATCCTTGCTCAAATTGCGCAAATTTGACGGTTGCAGAGGATATGCGTCTGAAGCATAAATTGGCCTTTAGAGGCACCTATTAACTTACCAGTTAATCCAGGGAGAGGGAAGATGCAAAGTCTTTGCAGAAACATCACCAGGCAGGGGGTTGAAACTTCCTGCTTCAGCATTTGAATTGGTACCCTAACAAACAAGAAATGACTGATGGGAAAATATAAGCTTTGATATAAAACATTTTACACTCCTTTAGATAGGTTAGGGTCAATATTTAAAAAAAAAAAAGAGAGAGATTTGACACCAAATCACTAGTAAAAACTCATCTTCATAAATACTAATTTACAATGTTGCTAGTTTAAATTAGTTTTTGGGTTTTTTTACTGTCACACTGCATAGTCTAAATCGAGTCCTCTGCATTGCAGTCAAAACTGTTAAATGTTAAGCTTTTGAAATAAAATCTAAAAAGCTGTTGCGTTTGGAGTTCCAATCTAACCTTCAATGGTTTAAGTTAGTTGAGTAAAACTTTATCATGCCTCCAAAAAGAAGCCCATATAGGGCATGTATCCAGTTAAGATCATCTGTAACTTTAAGACATCAGTTGCCTCTAGTTCAAATGTAGGCCATCGGATACGTTGGTGCGTATAGAATCCTCCCACTGATTTCCTGTCTGTAACCCTTTCATATTTGTGGAATGAAATCAAAATCCATTCTAAAATTTGAAAAATGATTTATATGTGTTGACTTGTTTTACTTACAACTAGAAGCAGGTTTAACTATGCGATGCTCGTCCTTAAAGCAAATACCTGTCTTAAAACCTGAAAATCCATATTCAATGTAATATATACGTAATATGAATTTTAAATTATTCTTAAATGCTACTTTTAAATAGCTAATTTGCCAGTTGTCTTGACAAGATTACACACTTCCTGTGTTGCTGCATGTTACTTTCAGTTTTTTTTTTATGTACTGCACTACAAAGTCATTTACCTCTCTAAGATCCCACGCTAACTTCCTTTTTTTTCTGCAGAAGAGCTGCTGAACAATTTCGCTCAGCAGACTGGGGCATGGCGCCATTGCTTGTTCTTCCTCTCCAATACTCGGAACGAGTATGTCATGATGTACAGTCTCACAGTGTTCGAAGTAAGTCCGACAGGTTGAAGATTGAAGTTCTTCTTTGAATCTATTTGCCTTTCAATGTTTTCAAAAGGAACCGTTTTTAGTAAAACACATTAACAGAAATAATGGGGAGCCGTGGGTTTCTTGTCAATGTCACCGCCAAATTAAATTTGACAGTGTTGATGCAAAATGTTTTTTATTCAATCCCACTACTGTTTGCTGAGGAAAGAAGTGTTTGTAAAAAACTCTTTTCTTGTCCATTGTTTTCTAAAGTTGTCATGTTTTTTTAGAACCTGGTCAACAAAATGTGGATTGGATTAGCCTCACAAGACAAGATGGAGATACGCAGCTGTCTTCCCAAACTCCTACTTGCTCAGCATAAGTCTGTGCCGTATTTCATCCGCAACAAACTCTGCAAAGTCATTGTTGACATCGGTCGTCAAGACTGGCCCATGTTTTACCATGATTTCTTCACCAGCACCCTTCAGGTGAGACCTTACAATTGCTCTTTCCATAATGCATAATTTTAAACGTCACTGCGTACTGAAATGTGTTTAAAATGTGCAAGCTGGTCAATAAGTTGCCTTTGACAAAGAACTGCAAAACCACAGCTTCTCTTATAATAAACATGTTTACTCAGATATAAACGGTTCCAAAAAGCTGACAATGGTTCTTTATTTGTCACACTTGTGAAATGGGTTCAAAGTTTGTCATGATATTATTTCTCTCATTATTTAAGTATCTGTACTCTAGAAAAAGATATTGGTGTGAATGTTTACTGCATTGCTGTAATTAAAAAAAACTTAATTTTATGCAGATCTTTATTGCTTTTCATTCAAATGCTTTCACTGATCCCTTTTTTATGCTAATAGCTTAAACTGTGGACTAAGAGCTACCAGACAAAGTTGATTTATATTTCAGTTTTGTTTTTATTATTATTAGTCATTTTCCTTCTATTTGATCTGAATTGTAACACATATACTGGTTTTAAAATGTAGACTGAGATGTTATAATTGATGCACATGACTTTTCTGTTCTCCACCAGCAGTGCCATATTTATCTGGGTTTTTTTTTTAACAGTCTTGGTGTAAACAGCAAGTTAACTTCTACATTTGCTTATGATTTGAAATGGATAGCTTTTTTTTTTTTTTTTTTTATAATTAACACGGAAGTTGATTTTTATGATCTTTGAATATGAAGCCCACAGCACTTTCATGTTGTGCTTAAAAAAAGAATCACTGAAAGATATAAACAAACACTGTTCATGTTTGATAACAACTTAAAGGGGAACGCCGTTTTTTTTATATTGGGCCCTTGATTTTACATTTTTTACGTCATGTTCTACTCCCCCATATTAGTTTTGTCATTTGGAGCTGTTCTGAAGATATTCCGTTAGGTTATATCCAAGTAACGTCTTCCTATGGGCAAACAACTTGAAGGCACAAACTAAACTGTTCTTAATTTGTTCTTTATGGTACGCCAGCATTCATAACATGTAGGCAAATCACTGTCCCCCAGACATCAGCGGTTATATTTTTTATAGTTATATTTTTAAAACAAAGTGGAGTGTGTATGATGTCATCCGCTCGCCAGACTGGAGTTGTTACAGGATGCTCTGGCTACAGGCGGCTACGCTCTACCCCTTCTATTCATTCGGCTGGCTAATCTGAACCGTTCAATTCAATTTCGAGAGCGAGATCATCTGTGGTAGTAAAACTAGACATCTTCCAGGCATGTGAGTAAAACTAGCAGCAGTTCAGCAGACAGAATGAATGAACGGTAGCCGGCGTGCACGGATGACATCATACACGCTCCAGTTTGTTTTTGAAAAATATAACCATACCGTACCATAAAGAACACATTATGAACATTTTAGTTTGTGCCTTCAAGTCGATTACCCATATAGGAAGACATTACTTGGATATAACCTAACCGAATTTCTGTAAAACAGCTCCGAATGACACAAAACTCATATGGGTGAGTAGAACATGATGTAATAACGTAAAATCAAGGTCCCAATGTAAAAAAAAAAAACGGCATTCCCCTTTAAGTTAGGGGGCTGAATTGAACAATCTTTTCCAACTTTTGTTTTGCAGCTGATCCAGACCCCAGCTCTTGCTCCATTAGGGTTAGTGATGCTGAAAACCACATCAGAGGAACTCGCTTGTCCTCGAGAAGACCTCAGCGTTGCCAGGAAGGACGAGCTCCGTAAACTGCTGCTCGAGCAGGTACCAACAGTCCTTGGACTGCTGACAGGTAAGAGCCACCTTCTAGTCTTTGTTCCGCTGTGAACAGATAAGGACTGGAAACTCTATTTAGGAATATGTAACTTTGGAATTATTCTACAAATGTTCTTCCGTAAACCAAACCTAATTTCACTAAGAATCTCATTAGTGAGCTTTTCAAAAGTATCCATACCCTTTTAACTTTTTCATACTGAAACCAAAACCTTCATGGGTTACTTATGGGATGAATCCTGAATCTATTTGGTTCTCATTAATGGTGCATATTTGTGAAGTGGTAGAAGATGATTACTTTAATATCTTTACAAAACAACAACAAAAAGGGGAGTAGTGTGGCAGGTAGTTGCAGTTAACCCCTCAATTATATCTCAAAGTCAAGAGTAACCGTTTTTGTTGAGATGTCACCTATTTAGGAAATCGAATCCATAATAGGGTAAAATTCAGCTTGCTTGTAAAGGCATCATCAATCGGATGCAGTTTTGAAGACTTTTTTTTTAAGGCAGGGTTTGGTTATAGTACAGTTCATTGATTTTGGGAGATGCAGCATTGTTGAGACCTTAATCTGAAAACAGAGTCTGAAACTACTGCTGAGACATGACTGTCTATCATGGTTGTCTGTCATGTCACAACTGACAGGCTGTGCAATAAGAGCGTCATTCAGAAAAAGAGCTGAGATCTGTATGGTATCTCTGTAGGAGCTGAAGAGATGCAGCTCAGGTATTAAGGAAAATAACATTGTTGATACACTACAAACCATGTAGAAGACAGAGCATAGATGTTGAAGAAGAGACTTTGATGTTATGAGACAAAGAGAATATTTTGGCCTTCATCAAAATGCTTGATGTAAAACTAGCACTGCACCTCAACCTTTACACACGATCTCTAAAGGGAAACATTGTGGTGACGGAAGTATGTTGTGGGGATTATTTCTTCATCATCTCCCCACCGACTGCTTAGTGTTGATGGGAGATGGATGAATGGAGCCAAATACAGGAGATTTGTGGTAGTAAATTAGTTAGATGCTGCTAAAGACCAGAGGCTGTGTGTAGGTGTTCACCTTTTAAAAGGAAAGGAGACCTAAAGTCCAGATATAAAACACCATAAAACTCTGAGGTGAGACTTAAAAGTTGATTTTCACAGCTGTCCTCCATTTTTGTTGATGTATCAGCAGAAGTATCAAAACTATTTATGTTTATTACTCAAGCAGAAGTATAAATCTTGCTATTTGAAAATACTCTTGTAGAAGTTACAAGTATCAACTTAAGCTTTTTACCTAAGTAAAAAATATAACTTTTAAAACTACTGCACTACCCTGTTGAAGTAAAAAAATTTTTACAATTCTGGATGATAACTTCCTTATACTTAAGTTTTATAGTTTTATAACTAATAGTAACAGTGCCAAATTAATCTTTGCATCAACGATTTAAGTTGGTATATAGTGAACAACAATTTGGTGCAGCACAGAGTCCAACCACAAAGAAATTAATTGTCTGGATGAAACAAATTGCTTGGATGGTTTTTATATTTTTGACATACCAACAGGCCATAGAGAAAATCAGCTTAGATGAAACTAAATTGACATGTCTATTTTTAAAATGTAAGGAGTAGAAGTAAAATGTGTATCAAATATATATCACATGGGGTTTGGCGCTGAAAGTTTGTGATCCAACATTGATGTGAGCCAGTTAAAGTAGTAGGAATACCCTCGGGATGAGCCTTTTTTTTAATGAAACATATTTGAATGTGTCCTGCAGGTATCTTGGAGACCTACTGGGATAAGCACAGCGTCATTACTTCTACTCCACCTCCATCACCCACTTCAAGAGAAGGTGGTAAGTGAATTGTCCTACTTTTAAGTTTCATTTTAACGCTTTACAAGAATTCTGAGGATCTTTTTGCTTTTTTTACCTGAGTTGTAAAATATGTTTCTTTAAGCAGTTTGTAAGTTAACATTACCAATTTTTGTTTCTTTAATGTATCAGTGGAATTGCTGGGCAGTTTGTTTCAGGGCAGCCAATACTCAAAGCTGCTTTGTCAGCCTATGGCTGCATTGGACAATGAGAGTCATCAGCTCTGTTGTCTTGTTTTGGAGTGCTTGGCTCACCTGTTCAGCTGGATCCCACTGTCCACAAGTATTACACCCACCCTGCTGGCATCCATTTTCCACTTCACACGTTTTGGTTGCGATCTACGGACAAAGGCCAAGACGGGACCTCTCATCTCCTCTACTTCTAATGGACAGCTCAACCCTGAGACGATGCGAACGTCGAATGGGGACAGCCGAAACGGACAGCAGAGTGAGATTAATAAAGCGGATCGTGCTCGGCTTGGCGTGCTTGCCATGACCTGTGTCAATGAACTGATGTCAAAGAACTGTGTGCCAATGGACTTTGAGGAGTACTTGCTGCGGATGTTCCAGCAGACATTCTTTCTTCTGCAAAGGCTGACACGAGAGAACAATGCTCATACAGTCAAGAGCCGCTTGCAGGAGCTTGATGAGAGGTATGGTTCAAGGCAGAAGCAGACTTATTTTTCTTTTATAAAAAGTTTGAAGAAGTTGTGTTTTTTTAACTGGTAAATGGCTCATGTTTAGTTTTATTCTAAAACCAATTTTAATTCTTATTTCTCTGTAGTTTAGCTATGAAAACCCCTTTCTCATCTTTTTTCATTTTCTGCATGAACTATGTTCCTTGCTGTTGTTGTTGAACTACATTTAACCTCAATATACTGTAAACCTTTTTTTATGTTGTCTCAGTTTGACCTCACTTGTGTGGTCTATCAGCAAGGCTAGTTTATTTGTAGAATAGATACCAGCAATAAGGGTTTTTAAGGTACGTCAGGATAGAAACATAAGAAAGAAAACTCAACAAATGTACATGGAAGTGGCAAAATAGATTAAGGAAAAGTAATTCAACTTTAGATGATTGTTTGGATAAGTTATTTAAGATCATACTGGGATGTTAGTTCTTTAATCTGGAACATTAGTCCATTTAATTTTTCTCAACTCTGATTTAGAGTTATCTATTAAGTCCTGGTCCCTATGGAAGGATTATAAGGCAGCATAAAGGCCAACACAGGAATATTTCTTGGTGTGAAATGCTGCACTGAGGTCCACTAATACTATCACTGTGGTTCCCACAGTTTCTGTTATTCATTGTAGTAAAGCTTTTCTTTACAACCAATCATTTATAATAGTTTATTTTCTCATTAACAACTAATACATAAGGATATATAAAACATTTTTTGCAGTTTTTCTGCCTCTTGCCATTATTAATGGATAGATTTCATTGAGCATTGTCTCTCTGAAACAGTTTATTCATTTATTGATTTGCCGGGTGAGAGTTCTTAAAACTTTCTTTGGTATGTATGCGCAAGAAAACAAGTTTTACTTATTTTAAAGCTGCGCATCTTTCTAGATTATTTTTCTGTCTACATGCAGCGGTTGAAAACTCAAAAGGATAAAACCAACCTTGCCTAGTTCTGCCTTCCTGATGCACACTGAATTATTGTGCTTTCGTTGAGTAGCCTCTGTACAAAGGTCTTCATTTTGGTTATTTTTTTATAGCTTTGGTGCTTCCCTTGACGCCTGTAGAGGAAGTATTGCAGCCACAATAAAGAATACCATTGTTCACCTGGACCTGGAATCAATACATGTAATCTATTTAAAAGGAACCAAAAGTTATATTTTCAAGTTTAAGGGCAGCCACTCACCAGTCAAATGAAGATGAGGAGTCTCTTATTTTCCTCCAGCTTTTATGAAAGTACTTAGAAAACATGAGAGCAGAATTCAGAGATCCAAATAAAAAAATAAAAATAAGGGGGAAAAAAGGGATGAGTACAGAGTCTTGATAGCACATTATCTTGTATGTCTGAAATCTTAATTGATTTGCTCAACAGAGATAATGGTACAAAAATGAAAATATTTCCTTTTACATTAAACAGATGCTTTGATAGAAGAGATGGATGGAGTCAACCAGCCAATAACGGCTTCGCATAAATTACTCAGCCTATCAAAAATGATATTAACAACTTCTTAATTTTCTTTATCAGAAACATTTCTCTTCAGATTTAAATTGTGTTTTTATGTGGTTTGTCAATATGTTCAGATGATAAAATTGAGAAGAAAATATACTCCTCAAAATTAAATACAGGTTTGTATATATTAATTATTCAATTGTATTAATGATGTCTCTCTGATCTTGCAGTTACTTGGAAAAGTTTACAGATTTTCTGCGCCTGTTTGTGAGCGTTCACTTGAGAAGGATTGAGTCGAGTCCTCAGTTTCCAATTGTAGAGTTTCTTGGTCTGCTTTTTAAGTACACCTTCAACCAGGTAATGATGGCTTCATCAGTAATTAACATGTTAATGACACACTTCTGCTGCAGAATTTATACAGACCTGCTTCTCCTTGAATTGACAGCCCACGCATGAGGGATACTTCGCTTGTTTGGACATTTGGAGTGTGTTTTTGGATTTTTTAACAACCAAGATAAAAAGCAGACTTGCTGACAGAGAAAGTGTACTCGATAGGTAAGTCCCGTACATTGATCAGATGCAACCAGGTGAATAGATATTTTGTTGTTTTGTTTTATTTTATTATTTCTATTAAATGCATCTGACAGGTACAAAGATGCCTTAGTTCTCCTTCTGAGGGAAGTTCTCAACCGCATCCAGTTTCGGTATAACCAGGCTCAGTTGGAGGAGCTGGATGATGAGACTTTGGATGATGATGTAAGAAGATTTAATAGTTGTAAACATATTAATCCACTCATTCTGCCTTCCATCCTTTAACTTTTGTATTGTACATAATTGAAATCTGCTGCATTGTTAGCATAACAATCTTTGAACACCTTAAAATAACCAAGATGTTGCAAAAACACATCTCTGTCTCACTACAAAGCCTGAAAGATCTTCTTCATCCTATCACTATAGCAACAGACGGAGTGGCAAAGGTTTCTACGTCAGAGTCTGGAGGTGGTTGCCAAGGTGATGGAACTGCTCCCATCCCATGCATTTTCTACCCTGGTAAGATAGTAATAAATTAAACCATTTCAGCATTACTTATAACTTCAGCACATTTTAGCAGGTTTTCTTCAGTAAACTGTGTCCACTGTCTCCGCTCTCCTTACAGCCAATCACGTTATCTCCTGATTTAGTCAGATTTTTGTCTTAGTTTTGTGCATTAAAAAAAAATTATTCACTAGGCCCGTTAGACACATTAGGTTTTAAACACAAACGCTGCATGTCTGTTTCACGACGACCTTATTAAAAAATGATCGGCATTTTACACAAAATTAATTATTTATAGGGAGAGGATCCTACAACTCAGTTGACACGATATGCGATTTACTTGCTTTTTGGTTTGTTTAATATGAGTGACAAGCGGATATTATTTTTTATTTATTTATTTATTTTTACAGACATGACAAACTACTGAAATTATTTTTAGATTACACATAAATAGATGAATTAATTCCACAAGGGAAAAGTGAATTTTTTTGGGATCAATATTCACTCAGTGATAACAGCCTACGGGTACCATCTAAAGCGGGTAAAAACAGCTACTTAATATTTACTTTGTGATGTATAGCTGGATCACATTGAGGAGGAACCCCATGGGATGATGAACAGGTCCTAACTATTCATCTTCATCTGGTACCGGGTGGTTTAATCTAAACAGATACGCTGATCCACTACCATCGAAGAAGTAAAGCTGCAATGTTATCATGGTCACAACAGGCCTTGACAAGCCATTTTGATATCTATTTGATTTACTGAATATGCATTCCTGAAATCTAAAAAAAAATTTTCCCTTGTCAAAATGACCATTGCAAACAAAATGACTCTCTTCAAATCTAGAATGAACATTCTGGATGTCTAGACATTATTTTCAGAGCTCTGTATTCCTATCGTTACTGGTCAGTATTTCTTGACTATGACTATTTCAGATATAAATACATTTTCAGTCAAGCTGATAAATGTCAGAAAAGCCACTTAAAATGTGTAAACATCTCTAGGTATATAAAACTTAATTCTTACCAGTATAATTAAACATTTTTAACTTTCTGAAATTAAAGTTTTCTGAAATAATGTGATTTAGAAAGTCTGTTCTTACAGTTCAGGCTAGGTGTGTGATTTTGATCAGGAGAATATTATCTTGGTTATCTACAAATGGAACAACAGAGAGAAGAGTGCTTTTAATAAATGTAAAAACGGCCTGCCATAGCCCATTTCATGTAATCATACGCATTAACTTGAGCAACAATCTTCTCCTTGACTGTATTCTTCTTCTTTGCAGCTGTAGAGCTGTTTCTCTGTTTTTAAACACATTCTTCATTTATTCCTTTCATTTCTGCATTAAAATCTCTTCCTGTTGCCTGTCGTCGTGGTGACTTGTTGCATTAAGGCTCCACCGATAAAGGCTTTTCATCCTTGTTACGCAGGAGTTCAGATCTGAGTGGATCTACTTGGAGTTGATTGAACTAATTCATAGCGGCCGTTGGGAAACCAAAAACTCAGAGTTCCCAACCTTAGGCTAGATCAATCTACACTTAATTATTGAGTTTATTATTGATCTTATCTGAGTTTGTTATTAATTGTTATTAATCAAGTATGAACCTGCATAAACTGAAGAGATTCAGAGAAATGCTGATGCTCAGCATAGTTAAACATGTGCTCTGCATGATGCCGTGTTTGTCAGAGTATCAACTGCTGGAAAGTGAGAGTACATGAGATATGGGCTGTTTGCTAAAATGGATTATAATTGAAAAGAAATGGATGATGAATCCATAGATTTGTTTTCGGGTTTTTTTCCATAAAATTCCTACGTTTAATGTGGATAAGGTTGTTTGTTGTTTTGTTTTTTTTCCTTTTTTGTTTTTTTAAACCAGGTTAAAATATTGCTGGTCATTTTCTGGCGTATTACGGTTGAGACAGAAGCCTTGTGCTGCAGACTAAAAGAGTGTAAGACTTATAAACTTTACCAAAACAGTATTTTTGGATTCATTTGAAAGCCATTTGTTCTATGTTCTGAATGCGTTATGGTTTATTTACCATGAATTTGAATTGTGTTAGCTTAAAAATGGTTCCTTTTTAACCCACTTCCTCCTCAGTGAGACTACTTTGTAATCACTTGTTAAGTCGTGTATTGGCTTTATTATGTGTTCTTTTCTCACAGCTGTAAACTGTCCTTGTGTGATATGTGCTGGTTTTGATGCACATCTACTCTAAGATTAGGAGAAATGTAACCTTCTCTTTCTTATTTAAAGAACAGAAATCCTTTTCTCATGCATATGAATTAGATATTTGCATTTAAAAAAAAAATCTAATTATTTCTCTCTTCTGTGTCAAGTTTCCAGTCCTGCAAGAAAATTTGGATGTATACCTTGGTTTGCGGCAGTTTATCATCACCACTGGATCCGGTATGTAAAGTGTGAAGCGTTTCAAAAGTTTATTGTTTTTCTTTTTTAATAGGGAGAAATTACTAAATGAATGTGATTAAATGTTTCTTTTAGGTCGAAGGCTGAACATAACTGCAGAGAACGACTGTCGCCGACTCCACTGCTCGCTCAGGGACCTCAGCTCGCTGCTACAGGCTGTAGGACGCCTAGCTGAGCACTTCATCGGAGAGGTGTTTGCTGCACGTTTCACTGATGCTCTTGCTGTGGTGGAGAGGTCTGTTCCCTTTTTTGTTTTTCTCTTCATGCCATATACCAAAGTCTCAGTATTACTTGTAGAAGCTACTGTTTGTATTTTTGGTTTTTTACTTTTAAACGTTGCAGATTTTAACTTTTTTTTTTTCTGCTTGTGGTGTTTTTTAATATATTTGGTACATAATGGATCGTTTGTATTCTCTTTTAGGTTGGTTGAAGTAACTTGCTATGGCTCTCAGACCGGCCTTTATGACCTGGAGACAGCTGTGCCTTCTGTGCTCAAACCTGACCTCACTGACGTGTGAGTATCACATGTCTTCCAATGCATCATTTCACTCTAAACACTGCTGGGATACAAAACTCAGCCTTTCTAATGAGAGAGAAGTTGCGTTTAGTGAGGATAGTAAAAAAACGCTGCCGTGAATTTAAATGTTGCTAGCTACCTCCCCCCCCCCACCCCCCTGCAAACTGCATTTTGGTTCCTGTTTAGAGTAACTTTATATTTGGACAAAATGCAGTTAAAGAACAAATATGTGCTATATGTGAATTTCTAAAATTATTAGATTTAAATTAGGGCTGCAACTAACGATTATTTTGAAAATCGATGAATCGGCCGATTATTTTTTCGATTAATCGATGAATC